AAAACGAAACTATTTTTTTCATGGTGGCATAAAACAAAAGAACAGCCAAAGAACGCTGGGCAGTAGTAAAGGAAGTAACAAGACTCACACTCGCACTGCTCCTCCCCTCYCACACACACACACACACACACAGGRAGAGAAAGAAGCACAGCAAGTGGCAAGTTTTTGTTGCCTGTGGCATCAACACAGCCCGCAACATAAAAATCACATTTATTTTTGACACAGAAACTTATTGATGCATAAAAAAAAGTTGATTTTCCACGCCCATATTCCTCATATTTTTAGTGGCAGGCCATTATCAGTATTTTGTATACCCTGTAACTAGGCAAGTTGGGTACTCAAGCAGGACAAAGAACAAGTTGAAATTATATATACTGCACAGATACGTATGTATATATGTATGTATATGTATGTATGGATGTATGTGTATAAATATATATTGATTTCTGCTTCTTCAAAATGCAGCAGACGTGAAACTTGCCATAGAAAAGAGGTTAAGTTGATTAGATTTTTAGATCAATAGATTATATATATACATCTATATATACAATTTATGCGAAGTCAGAGTGGAGCACCTGCAATATACTTTGAAATTTAGAAAATAAAATTCATTTATTGAAGAGTATGTTCAAGTGGTCCATGCCATGGCGCAACGCTCTCCGACGTTTGCTCCCCTTCACATGAATTGTATGGCTCCGCAGGCGGTGTAAAACTGGCTGCCATATTGGAAGCAAGGATTTTTCAATAAATGTATATTTTTGTACCTTTTGCAGAATCCACTTGCGGCATTGAACAGTTCCGGTGCAACAACGGCAAGTGCATACCCAACAAATGGCGTTGCGATCGGGAGAGCGACTGTGCCGATGGCTCGGATGAGGCACCCGGTCTTTGCAGTAAGTATTATGCTCTTATCTATTGTCGTGGGATTGGGTTGCTCAAATTTCAGCTCGGCTTGTGCAGTGAACGTGTGCAACCACTTCACCTTCAGATGCGACAATGGGGAGCAGTGCCTGCCGCGCAGTTGGATCTGCGATGGGGACCCCGACTGTCGCGATGGCTCCGACGAATTAGAGTGTAGTAAGCAGAAAAGTTATAGCTAAATTTGCATACGTACGTACTAACCCAGGAGGATTTACGCTGGCCCACTAATAACAGAAGAAAAGAATGAAGAATGAAAACAATTTGAGGCATAGAAAAAAAAAAAAAAAAAAATAAACACTCTCTCTCGCAAATGGATTTCATAGCCTAAAGTCTCATAAAGTCGCATTTAAAGCATGATATTTATTTGAATGCATGCCATGTATATCCAGTGCTTGCTTCGCTCCCCCCAAGATCCCCGCATGTATATTCGCCATGTATCTCATACTTTACGACTTTGAGGACGGGGGCTCCTACGACGCGACGTGGGCCGACTTGTCCATAAATTAACGTCAAAGGACTACGCAAAAACATCGCGACGTGCGCATCAAAAATGCTGCCAGCAGCGGAAATAATTTGTATTTATGCATTAACAAGCCCAACAAAATGTAATGCCCAGCTAATTCGCATACCCTGTAAAAATAAATAGGCAAATAGC